CAATTAGAAACCTTCAGGGAGCCTAGGGGTAGGACGTCTAGCTTTGGTATTTTTGCTTCTTAGGTGGGCAGGCGCTTTCTTCAGTTTCTTCGCCAGGTCCTAGGCACGTCAAACCGGAGGGCCATCATGTACTGATGCAAAGGATTAAGCTTTGAGGGATGTTACTAACGAAGGAAGTTTCCGACGTCCAGAAATAAAAATTGGAGGACAGTTTTTATTAAGCAGTTTTCTGAGATTGACTGCTAGCTTGTATAAGACTGCCTTGTATGGCTTTTCTTCCACCTATAATTGTTAAGAGTCATTCTGTGGTGGCGCACGCCTTTAATCCCAGCACTCAGGAGGCAGAGGTAGGTGAATCTCTGTGAGTTCGAGGCCAGCCTGGTCTACAAGAGCTAGTTCCAGGACAACCTCTAACGCTACAGAGAAAAAAAAAAAAGTCATTCTGTGGCGCACGCCCTTAATCCCAGCACTTGGGAGACAAAGGCATGTGAGCTCGAGACCAACCTGGTCTACAAAGTGAGTTAGTTCCTGGATATCCAGGACTGTTACAAAGAGAAACCCTGTCTCGAAAACAAAACAAACAAAAACAAAAATCAAAAAACAAAAGTCATTCTACGGAGACGTAAATACTTGAAATTAGGAGTGCAGACCTAGGTACATGATAAACATTTGGCACATATTAAACACATACTAACAGAATCATAGTTCAAAAATAGTTCTTAACCTGTATGGTGGTTCTTGCCTGTAAATACCCGCACAAAGGATGCTGAAGCAGGAGGATCTCTGGAGTTTGAGACTACACAGTGCGACCTTGTTTTAAAAAACAAATACAACCAAAAATATGGAATAACCCAAAAATATGGAATAACTCTTCAGCATCTGTCGGCAGAAAGTACTGTATTACTTTTATTGGAATACATACACATATATAAGCCAGCCTCTGTCCTTCAAAGCATATTAATTTTCAAGATTAAGTCTTCTAAGAGTGTTAGTCAAAAAGTATTACATATTTCTATTTTGAATAATTGGTCTAACTGTAGGGTGGGAAGGGCCAAGGAAAAACACCCTGACCCCGACTTGGGAACAGGGATTGAAGTCCCACAAACCCTGAGCATTGACTACCACCAATCCCTAAATGCAACAGTAATCCCAAACCACCCTGGAAAGCTCCACTGCCCCCCAAGGAACTCTATATAAACTCTGTATCCTGTTTAGTTTGCTGTCACTTCACCCAAGAGGCAGCCACCCTCCTGGGTTCTTCCTTCCCAACGAATCTCTTTAATGAAGTTTGGGTGGTGACCTTCTTTTGTAGGAGTGTAGTGAAGCGGAGACGCCCAAGAGGAGTGGAGCAGAGCTTTGGAAAGGCTCCTGACGTGGGAAACCTCTCCCTGGTGACTTCATGGTCTTCCTTGGCTCCCGACTGCCAGAATACCTTTCATCCGAACTGCAATGCTTACACTAAGAGCTCGGCATTAGACCACACCAGTGATTCTTGTACTTGAGAGGCATAGACAGGAAGTTTTGAACTGCATCTAAATTCAAAGCCAGACCCTGCCACAAAACAGAAAAAGAAAAACAAACAAAAACAAAAAAACCAACAAGGAATAATGGCAACATGCACTGTCTTGATAGTAACATCCCACTGCTCTCTTGTGGTGTACTAAATTTCCCAAAACAGAAACAGTCTATCTACGGGCTGGAGAGATGGCTCAGTGCTTAAGAGCATTGCCTGCTCTTCCAAAGGTCCTGAGTTCAATTCACAGCAACCACATGGTGGCTCACAACCATCTGTATTGAGATCTGGTGCCCTTTTCTGGCCTGCAAGGATATACACAGACAGAATATTGTATACATAATAAATAAATAAATAAATAAATATTAAAAAAAAAAGAAAGTCTATCTAATAACACTGTCAGATTCATCCCCACTCCTGTTTCTCCCCATTTCTCCTAATTAGGGGTTTCTCTGTTTAGCTTTGGCTGTACTGGAACTCTGAAAACCAAGCTGGCCTCAAACTCCAGAGATTCACCCGCCTCGGCCTCCCGAGTGCTGGGATTAAAGATGTGTGCCACCACCACCCAGCCCCACTTTTTCTTTTTCTGAAGCTGGGTCTCACTGTGTAGCTCTGGCAGGCCTGTAACTCACTCTGTAGACAGAGGCTTCTGAGTGCTGGGATTAAAGGTTTGTCACAATAATTTTTTTTGGCGGGGGGGGGGGGTAACTTCTTGTGAGATAGGCTTGGGAGCTACCTGTTCATTTCTCATAGCATTAGGTTTACTTCTCATGGGACAATCTGAGAAATACTACAACACACAGATTATTATTATACGAGGCAAAGTCTGGTAAGCATAATAGAAATGTTTATAATGCTGTATAGGACTTTTAAAAGGACCCATAGGCAGTGTAAGGTTAAAAGAAGTGTTCCTGACAAAGGTCATTTAGAAATACCAGGACAAATCAGTGAAAGGTTTTCTTAAATGGGAAGCAGAACTGGAGACTGGAGAGATGGATGGGCAGTTAGGAGCACTGACTGTTCTAACAGAGGATCGGGGGTTCAATTCCCAGCACCCACATGACAGCTCATAAGTGACTGTAAATCCAGTTCCAGGGTAATCTGACACCTTTACACCATTGTCCATACATCATAAAAAAATTCTTAAAAAAAAAAAAAGTAGAACTGACCTTTAGGAGGTTAGTTTGGTGGTGGTGAATACAAACGTTCAGAAATTTAGGCAGTCCCAGCACTCGGGAGGCAGAGGCAGGCGGATCTCTGTGAGTTCGAGACCAGCCTGGTCTACAGAGCTAGTTCCAGGACAGGCTCCAAAGCCACAGAGAAACCCTGTCTCGAAAAACCAAAAAAAACACCAGTCTTGGCCTGGTGTTTTTTTTGGTTTTTCGAGACAAAAAAAAAAAAAAAGAAATTTAGGCAGAAAGGCACTAGAGATGGGCAGTCTAGCCAGGGTCTACTGCCATCATTAGGAAAGAGATAATCAGGACTAACCTAGAAATGTGGTAGCTAAGAGCTTTTTTAAAAACAGGGTTTCTCTGTGTAGCCCTGGCTGTTCTGGAACTCAGTTTGTAGAACAGGCTGGTCTCAAACTCACAGAGATCAGTCTTCTGGGATTATAGGTTTGTGCCATTACCACTAGCCAAAATAAATCTTTTTTTTTTCTTCTGGTTTTTCGAGAAAAGTTTATCTGTGTAGCTTTGAAGCCTGTTCTGGAACTCACTATGTAGACCAGAGTGGCCTCGAAATCACAGAGATCCACCTGCCTCTGCCTCCCAAGTGCTGGGATCAAAGGCGTGCACCAGTACTGCCCAGTAAAAAGATTTTAAAATAATAAAGAGGGTCTGGGAATCAATGGCCACAATTGTGCATGTGCGTGTATGTGATTTACTAGTTTAGCAATGGTTTTACAAAGAATGAGAAAGCTGTTTCTCCAGTGGACTATCTACAGAAGCAGTAAGTTAAAATTAAGGAGTCAGGACCATAGAAATGGCCGGCAGATAATGGCACTTGCTGCCAAAGCTCATGACATGCTTCATTTTACATAGCAAAGTACAGCCAGTCCAAATAAAGATATTTTTTCCTTTTCTTGTGCTGTTCTAAGGGAGGGAGGAATAATAAGCCAATCATAACTACAGTTACATTTTTATAAGCTAATGGTTAGAGTTAGTACATTATCAAGTGCATTGTTAGGTTCATCTCTTAGATAAACTCAAGTCATTTGTGGCATATTCAGAGAAGTCATTCTCATTCTCTTCAGTGGTAACATGGTATTACTGGGTAACTTACTCTGACTGAGATGGAGACCCTACTGGGATATTAGCTGGAGCCCAGGGCAGCACTGCTATGCCCTGTCAATACATACCATAATTAATAAAGTTGTAAACCATGTACAGAGAGACCAGGGGCACAACTATTTTATCTTTATTATACAGAAATGTGATGGCAATTATACACTACATGAGTGTTTGGCAGTGAACATTACACAGATTTCAAGTGGAGACACCCTCATTTTATGGATATATAAAAATAAACACTGAGAGTTGCAGGAAAGCACTCAACTTCTATCCCCCCAGTCAAGCTGAAGTTTTCCACAGGAAAACCTGGTTTCAATTCATGTTGAATTGTTCCAATTGGAAGACAAGCTAAGCCGCTAGATATCACATGGGCTGGCTTTGCACTTCTATAGAGAGCCAGACTAAGACTCTATTTGCTTCTCAAATTACAATTTGTATCTCATCTAAGAGACACATGAAATGCAGACAATAAAAATGAATTAGAAAACTTTCACGGATCTAGGTAGGTTCAGGGAGATGAAGTTAGAGCAATTTACTTCTGCATATGAGGATTTGGTATGAGTTCGAGTCACCTGTATTGGCTGTGTGGCAGCCTGTTTCTCCCCGGCAGTCAACAGGGAGCTTGAAATCAGCACAAGCCAGTGCTGGCCTCTTCAAAGCCCCCAGACCTAGGCTTTGTATCAGTTGCCATTGACACTCAACTACCCATCTAAATAGCATCTCTTCTAACAAAGTCTCTCTCCACCCTTACTACTGAAGCAAAAACATTTCAAGAGATTTGGCTACAATGATGGCTGTGTTGAAAGAAGACACAATTTGGAGGGTATCTGTAGATTAAATATAGACCGAATTATTGTTAAAGTCCTTAAATATAGGGAGTTTATCAATTTATACAGGAAATAAAAACAGGGATTATGAAGATATGGAGTTTGGCTACCTTGTGCTGTTATCTGGGAACAGAAACTTACAATTCCTTTAATTTAATCATAGTAGAGACACATGCTAAAAGAAGAAAAGACTTTAATTTTTGAGTGAGAGATAGTCTCATATAGCCCTGAACTTACTACACTAGCTAAGGCTGATCATCAGCTCCAGATCCTTCTGCCACCAGCTCCCAAGTGTGTCCCCCAACACCTGACTTCCCCCTTTCCTATAAGTTCTAATACTGGCTGCATGAAAGAGGTGACTGAGGCACATTGCTTTTTAAATTCAGACTTTGTTTTAATGATTGTGGAAGTAGGAAAGATAGTGCTAAAATAGATCGTGGAATACATTTCTGCTTCTAGAACTATGGGAGTCAGGTCATCAAACTTGGAGTGTTTTCATTAGATAAAGACAAGAAAATCACAGGCAGGAGGTACAATCTCAGGGACCATTTGCTTCAAAAATTAGTCTTATTTCTTTTACTGCCCTTCATTTAAAGAGACAGTGATGTCAGTAAGTATCATTGTGTACCAGCGTCAGAAAGATAAAGGCTGAGAAAATGTGATAAGGGAGAAAAAATGGAGAGAAAAAATAAGGGTGAAAAGAATGAATGTACAGTTTACTCTTCATCTTCACATTTTGTTGCTGGAAAGCTCTAATCCCCATGTGGATACTCCTGTTGATCCAAGAGTACACTGGTTAAAAACAAACCCAGAAATAGGAGATATTTATTGGATGTATGTGAGCTCACCCCATTCATTCAGATGTGGAATGGAAGTACGAGGAGAAAACGGTCTGCTTAGAATGGTCGTGGCCCATGAAGAGGCCCTGAGGTTGTCCTCCCCAAGTCATGGTCCTGATTCAAAATAGAGGAAATAATGATGACGATATCTTATTACACAAAGCTCAGTGATGGGGTCTCTGAAGTCAGCGGCCTGCTGGCTCTAGGATTTGTTGAAGGCTGCCAGCACAGCCCAGATCATCTCTGTGGCGTTATGCTTTGTCCCTTCCACTTCGGGGTCCAGTTCTACAAGGTCCTTGGTGCGATTCATCGCCACATCGTACTTGTCATCTGTCAGACAGGAGAAGACATTCTCTAGCACGTCAGAGGAATGCGCCAGAACCAAGAGTGCCAGTGTTCGCCTGTCCATGCGCTGAGGGTCGTTCACCCACCGTTCTAACACACTGTCTTGGAGTTTTTTCACTAGTCGCTGTTTCTCTGTTGTGTTGGTCACTGGGTGAGTGGTCATGTCGAACAGCAGGAAGTTCTGCTTCTCTGTGGTGAGAATACCCTTCTCCACCAGATTCTTGGCAATCCGCTCGCGCACATTTCTAAGCTGGTACTGTAATTTGAAGGGGTTCCACGTCTCACCTTTGAGAAAGAAACAGGAAAACAAATAGAAAAACCCAGCTTGTTATTTGAACTATTTAAAAATTTAAAAGCACAATTTCCATCAATGAGGAAACAATGTCAACTCTTTTTTAAACCGTACTTTGTGCCTTATGTGTTGGTTTTGACTCCAACTATATTTTACATTAAACAACTCTCAAAAGTTGTCCTCACACATACACGAATGTGCATGAGAAAACACATGAGAAAACCTATCAGGGATTTCCATGCTAGTACTCACAGCATGTGTGCTATGGTATATGTGTGGAGGTCAGAACTAGTTTTCTCCTTCCACCTTGTAGCTTCTAGGGATCAAATTCAGGTTGTGAAACTTGGCAGCAAGTACCTTTACTTGATAAAACCATTTTGACAGTTTTCCAGATTTTTTATTTTTGTCATAAATTTTTGTTGTTGTTATTATTTGTATTTATGTATGTATGCAGGTGTCCATAGAGGTCAACAGAAGGTGTTGAATATCCTGGAACTGAGTTAGAGATGGTTGTGAGCCACTGGGTTCTGGGAACTGAACTCAAGTCCTCTGGAAGAGCAGGAAGCACTCTTAACCATTGAGCCATCTCTCTGACCCCTTATTTCAGTTCATATATAACTCTCTATGATGTTGTTAATCATTTTTGGATGATCACTTTGGATGTGTGTGAACATGGATGTTAGAGAATAGCCTCAAGGGTCATCCTGCCCTACCTTACCCTCTTTCTTTCAGACAGGGTCTCTCATTTGCCTGGAGCTTGCCAAGAAGGCTGGTTTGGCTGGTCATCAAGCTAGCCTCCCCACTGGGATCATAAATGCAGATATCTGGCCTAGATTATTCTCTCTCTCTCTCTCGGTTCTGGGGATCAAGCTCAAGTCCTTATGTTTGCAACACAAATAGTTTACTGATTGGGCTCTCTCTCTCTAGCATTTATTCTCGTATTTTTTTTTTTTTTTTTTTTGCCATTCTCTTCAAGATATCAGTTTTTCTGGGATGACTTCTCTTCCATATCACATGTGTTCTAGCTGGGTTGGTAAAACTGAAAAGACTGCGTTTGCTTTGGCAGCACATATTCTAAAATTGGAATGATACAGAGAAGATTAGCATGGCCACTGAGCAGGGGTGACACGTAAATTTATGAAGCATTTCATATTTAAAAATAAAATATAATTGAGAGGACTAAGATCCCCTTCTCCTATTTATCAGGTGGAAGGCCTATCCAGGAGTCGTGGACTGGCAATTGGAGCTCAAACTGCCCCATTCTAGCTTCTTTGAAGGGTAGAGGTCACTGACTAGAAAATGAAAGCCAAGAGGATGAGAGGCTGCTGCTCCACTAACAGCAGGACTAAAAGCCTGAAGGAAGGGTTCCATAGCTGTACCTGAGATGACCGCTTGATCAAGTGTAAAGAATCCTAAATCTAAATGTGTTGAAAACCATGGACATCTTGGTGCAGAACAATTGCCAGGATGCTGAGAGAAAATATCAAAGGACAAAGCCTTCTTTTCAATTCTACAGGCTCTTCACACATGTAGTGTATTAATAAACATGTAGGCAAACACTCAATGGTTACTCTTCATTGCTGACTTGACACAGAATCCCAGGAGAGGGCTGGCCAGAAGGTACAGCAAGTAAAAAGTGTTTGCTGTGAAAGTCTGGTGACCTGTGGCTGACCCCTGAAAGCTATGGTGGAAGGAAAGAATTAACTCTTGGGGCTGGAGAGATGGCTCAGTGGTTAAGAGCATTGCCTGCTCTTCCAAAGGTCCTGAGTTCAATTCCCGGCAACCACATGGTGGCTCACAACCATCTGTAATGAGGTCTGGTGCCCTCTTCTGGCCTTCAGGAATACACACAGACAGAACATTGTATACATAATAAATAAATAAATATTAAAAAAAAAAGAATTAACTCCTGAAAGCTATGGTGGAAGGAAAACTCCTGAAAGCTATGGTGGAAGGAAAGAATTAACTCCTGAAAGCTGTCCTCTCACCTGCCCATGATTAAGGGGCATGTTAGCAGTGCAGAGAAGCGCACGCACACACATACACGCACGCACACACACACTAATAATAAGGGGCGACCCTTGAGATAGCTCAGTAGGTCAAGGTGCTTGCTGTCAAGCTGGACAATCTGAGTATGGACTCTGACCTGAATAGTGGGAGAAAACTGACTCCTATAAGTTGTCTTCTGACCTCCAGATGTGTAAGTGGTACATTCTTGTGCATACCCCACATACCAACTATATGAATAAAACTTTAGTAACAATAAAAAGAAATTGCCTAGAAGGCATACCTCTGGCATGTCTGTAAGGGCATATCCAAGAGGTTTAGCTGAAAATGAGACAGCCATCCCTAGACATTGGATGTGTACCTGGTCTGAATAAAAGGAGACAAAGGAAAGTCTTTTGCACATCTCTCTGCTTCCTGCCTCCCACTCCCAATACTATGCCTCCCCTGCTATGATGGTCAGTAGTATCCTGATGTAACCTTCTGTATACATGTTGCTTTTATTGGTTGATGAATACAGCTGTTTCAGCAAATGGCTTAGCAGAGTAAAGCCAGGTGGGAAATTCAGAGATATAGAGAGAGTAGGCGGAGTCAAGGAGCCACTAGACAGTCGTTGAGGAAACAAGACATCTAAAAAATTAAAAAATGAGGTAATGCCATGGCTACATGGCAATACATAGACTAATAGAAATGGGTTAATTTAAGATGTAAGAGCTAGCTAGAAATATGCCTGAGCCATTGGCCAAACAGTGTTGTAATTAATATAGTTTTTGTGTGATTATTCGGGTCTGGACAGCAGGAAAACAAAAAGTACAGTCTCTGTTTACAGTATCCTGTCAAAACTTTCACCAAAATAAATATAAATTCTTCTTCTTCTTCTTCTTCTTCTTCTTCTTCTTCTTCTTCTTCTTCCTCCTCCTCCTCCTCCTCCTCTTCCTCTTCTTCTTCTTTTTCTTTTTTTGAGACAGGGTTTCTCTGAAGCTTTGGAGCCTGTCCTGGAACTAGCTCTTGTAGACCAGGCTGGCCTTGAACTCACAGAGATCCGCCTGCCTCTGCCTCCTGAGTGCTGGGATTAAAGGCGTGTGCAACTGATGTAGGTGGGTCTTCTTTCTATGTGTTGCTTTCATTGGTTAATTAATAAAGAAACTGCTCGGCCTGACAGGTCAGAACATAGGTGGGTGGAGTAGACAGGACAGAATGTTGGGAAGAAGGGAAGTGAGTCAGACACCATGCTTCTCCTACCCAAGACAGAGGGTGGTTAGAATCTTTCCGGTAAGCCACCACTTTGTGGTGGTACACAGATTATTAGAAATGGGTTAATCAAGATGTGAGAGTTAGCCAATAAGAGGCTAGAACTAATGGGCCAGGCAGTGTTTAAATGAATACAATTTGTGTGTTGTTATTTAGGGTGTAAAGCTAGCCAGGCGGTAACCGGGCGGAACAAAAAGCAGGCCTGCTTGCCTCATCACTACACGCCACCACTGCTTGGCTAAATGCATACCTACTCTTGCAGAGGATCCCAGCACCGTGTCAAGTGTCTCATGACTGCCTACAACAACAGCTATACTCTCTTTTGGCCTTTGTAGGCATTGGCACTCACATGACTATTTCCACACACATACAGACACAAACTCATAATTAAAATAAAACTTAGAAAAACAATCTCAACAATGATATTGAAAGCTATATAAACCATACAGAAATTCTGGAGTTTGAGAGAAAAATAAGCAAAATAAAAAATTTATTTAAAAGTTCAACAACAAAGCCAGGCGGTGGTGGCGCACGCCTTTAATCCCAGCACTCGGGAGGTAGAGGCAGGTGGATCTCTGTGAGTTTGAGGCCAGCCTGGTCTACAAGAGCTAGTTCCAGGACAGGAACCAAAAGAGCTACGGAAAAACCCTGTCTCGAAAAATCCAAAAAAAAAAAAAAAGTTCAACAACAAAACTGAGCTAGCAAAAGAATCAGCAGTTGTTGAAAACAATAGAGATTATGTAGTTTGAGGTGGGCATTGTGAAGAACACCTGTAACTCCAGCTCCTGGGTAGAAGAATCAGGTGTTCATGGTTATCTCCTGACACAGAGTAAGTCTGAGGCTACCCCAGACTATGTGAAATATTGTTCAACAATACAAAATGAGGTTACATTGTCTGGAGAGAGCTTCAGAGAAATGTGAGGTGCACTTAGGACTTACACGTGTAAAAGTATAGAGAGAACGATGATGGAACAAAGGGGAGAGAAAAAAAGCAGAATACTAAATCCCATATTTCATTAAAAACACTTGCCTATACATTTTGAGCTCAATGAACCCCACACAGGATACATGTAGAGAGAATGAAATCTAAGGCCAGGTACTAAGAAGCAGTCTAGGAAGACAGCTTGAGAAAAATGACTTGTCACATCAAAGCTGCAGTGAGGTCAACAGCTGACTCAGTCAGAAGAACAGAAAAATAAAATGATTACTTCAAAGCATTGACTGACAAAACTGTCAGCCAAAAGCCTTCTCTTCTCTTCTCTTCTCTTCTCTTCTCTTCTCTTCTCTTCTCTCTTTTCACAACGTCTCTCTATGTAGACCTAGCTGTTCTGAAACACACCCATCTCCCCCTCCTGAGTACTAGGATTGAAAGCCACCACACCAGGAATTACTTAATTTTTTTTTTTGAGACAAGGTTTCAGAAGGTTGTACAAATGGGGCACTTGCCAACTAAGCCTGACTACCTCAGTTCAATCCCGACTCAGCTGGCAAATGGAGAGAAGCACATGCTCAGAGTTGTGCCCTAACCCCCACATGTGCACTGCAGAAGTGGGGCTGGGGGACGGGCATTTACATGCATAAAAAACATAGCAAGAAAATTTCTTTTTTCCATGACAGGGTTTCTCTGTATAATAGCCCTAGCTTTCCTGGAACTCACTTTGTAGACCAGGCTGGCCTTCATAGAGATCTGCCTACCTATGCCTTCTGAGTGCTGAGATTAAAGGCATGCATACCAAACTGAAAAAAGATTTAAATTGTTCACAAATGTTTATAGTAGCCTAGGTCCCAACAACAAACTCAAATATCCATCAGCTAAATGGCCAAACAAATGTATACAAATTCTTGAAATATTAGCTATAAAAGCAGACAATTCTGGGAAAGTCAAGACAGAAAGATTTTATCTATGTCAATGTCCTAGTTGTCATCTCAATAAATATTTTATTTTGAGATAAGGTTTTACTATGAACACCAGGCTTATCTTGAACCTCTCTGCCTTAGCCTCCCACATGGTAGAATTATGAACCTTTGCTACCACAGCTGGCTTAATTTTTTTTACCTAAAAAAATTTATAGGTATGCACGTGTGTGTGTGTGTTTGTATGTGCGCTCTTGTGGGCATGTGCACTTCCAAGGGGACCAGAGAGGGCATCAGATTCTTTGGAGCTAAAGTTACAGGGGTTCAGGATCTGAACCTGCATCCTCTTTGACAGTAGTAGTCATTCTAACCATTGAACCATCTCTGCAGACTCCCAAGTTTTACTTTAGTTTCTTATGTACATGTTTTTTGGGGGAGGGTATTGGGAATTGAACTCATTTTTTGGTGTTTTTGAAATGGCGTTTCCAAATGTAGCCTAGATTGGCCTTGAACTATCAGTAATTCTGTCTCGGCCTCACAAGTGAGTAGTGGCGTTTCATTTGTATTTTAATAAATAAAGCCTGCCTGAAGACCAGAGGGTAAAACAGCCACACTAGTAAGCTTTAGAGACACATACCTATAATCTCAGGAGCTACAGTAGTTTGCCATAGAAACCGGGTGGTACAAGCCTTTAATCCCAGCACTAGAGAGGATTATAAATAGGAGGAGACAGCTCTCACACACAGTCTCATTCTGAGATTCCTGAGGGCAGGATTGCCATTTTGGACTGAGGCAGAGGTAAGAGCCAGTGGTTGGATGCTTTGCTTTTCTGATCTTCAGGTTGAACCACAATTTGTGTCTCTGAGTTTTTATTAATTGTGCTATACAAATGCTAGGGTTATTGGTATATACCACCATTCTTGGCTAATAGAGATTTTTTAAAAAGTTTAATAAAGTTTAAAAAAATGTTTATTTTAAAAAAGGGTTGGTAAAATAGTTTGGCAGGTAAAAACACCTAATATTTGAGTTAATACTGGGAGACCACATAGAGATGGAAGGAGAGAACTAATTCTAAAATGCTGTCCTTTGATCTCTCCATGTGCACGCTCACAAGTCAGTCCACATACACACAATGCATAAAAAATATATAAATACAACGTTTCTTGGAAAGGTCTGGGGATAAATCTCAGTTGGTCAAGTGCTGCCTGGCATCCTTGAAGTCCTGGATTTGATTCTTAGCACCTCATGAACTAGGGTGATGGTTTATGCCTATAATCCCTGCATTTGAGAGGCGAAGGCAGTATGACTAGAACTTCAAGGTCATCCTTGGCTACATAGCAAGTTGGAGGCCAACCTGGGACATATGAGATGCTGTCTCAAAAAAAGTTCCTTGGCTGGATTAGGTGGTGCACACCTCACACCTTCTGTCCCAGGACTTGGGAGGCGTATCTTTTTGAGTTTGGGGTTCAAAATTCCCAGCCACCTAGTGAAGAACACTGTTAAGCTGTATCTACCTATATTTTCAGTAGCAGAGACACTAAAGCAGGAGGATTCAGAGTTCTAGGCCACCTCAGTTTATACAGTGAGAGCCCACAAAATAAAACTGTGAAGAGTTCTCATAGGCTGAATGTGACAGCACATGCTTGTCCCATACTTGGCACTTGATGGACAGATGATCAAGAGTTCTAGGTCATCCTTTCCTTGGCTGCACAGCAAGTTCAAGGCAAGCCTGGGCTGTATGAGGTTCTGTAGGACTGCGGCTGATAAACTGATGTGCTTGGAAAGCTGTAGGTGCTAGTTAACCACTTACCATACCTAGCATGCTGCACTTCTCTACTTTCCCTCTAACCTTACGAGTAGGCTAAGATGATCAAGGGTGGGATTTGGGCATTATTTTTAGCCATCTCACCAGTGAGTAGCTCTATCCATGTCTGGACAGTTTCTGTTGGCTCAGTTGCTTTGATGTGTTTGAGAGTTTCATCCAGCAAAACATCACCTGTTGGGTTGTCTGACTTTAGCAGGACCTTAAAGAAACAGAGAACACTGTTTACTCAGATGAAAAAGCCTTCAGTGTACAATATACACATGCTGGTTAAAAGGTGGGAGGAAGCAGAATATACTGCCCATGTCATGGAAGAGTTTAATATGTAGTATGACTTCATAGTAGAAAGATAAAATTACATTTGAAGTGGGACCTAGTAGTAAATGCTATAAGTAAAATGGACAAAACATTCCATAGTATCTTTCTGAGTTTGGAAAACCTCCTTGTGAAACCACTAATAAAGGCAGGAAGTTCAGAAAAGTAAGTTAATTTGGGTGAATGTTATCAAGCCTGGCTTTTGATTTCTTTGGGATAGCCAAGTTGAAATGTCTAGCCAATAATTAGTATGTTCCTGGAAGCTAAAGCTAAAGAAATGTCTACAAATTTGGAAGTGAATTTCCTGGAGGTAATAGACACAGCTAAAGAAGTAAATGGCATTTCCAAAAGGCTAGAAAAATCAGGCTGGGAGCTGGAGAGATGATGGCTCAGAGGTTAAGAGCATTGCCTACTCTTCCAAAGGTCCTGAGTTCAATTCCCAGCAACCACATGGTGGCTCACAACCATCTGTAATGGAGTCTGGTGCCCTCTTCTGGCCTGTAGGCGTACATACAGACAGAATATTATATACATAATAAATAAATAAATAAATAAATAAATATTTTTTAAAAAAAAGAAAGAAAAATCAGGCTGGAGAGATGGCTCAGAGGTTAGGAACATTGGATGCTCTTCCGGAGGTCCTGAGTTCAATTCCCAGCAACCACCTGGTGGCTTGAAACCATCTGTAATGAGATCTGATGCTTTCTTCTTGCCTGCAGGCCTACATATAGACAGAACACTGTATATATAATAAACAAATAAATCTTTACCAAAAAGCAAAAATAAATAAATAAATAAATAAATAAATAAAGAAAAATTACCTGACAGGATACAAACTGATACTTGGCTATTAGGAATGGAGAAGTAAAGGTCAAATGCAGTCATGATTTCCTCAATCTACATAATATTTTATTTCATACATAGAGAGAGAAAGATAATCAACAGTATCCTAAATGTGAGTTTTCCATGTTAGAAAAAGACAAAACTGGGCTGGAGAGATGGCTCAGTGGTTAAGAGCACTGCCTGCTCTTCCAGAGGTCCTGAGTTCAATTCCTGGCAACCACATGATTGCTCACATCTGTAATGAGATCTGGTGCCCTCTTCTGGTCTGCAGGCATACATGCAGCCAGAACACTGTATACATAATAGATAAAATAAATCTTCAAAAAAAAAAAAAAAGACAAAACCAGGTTTCTTTGATTCACTAAGCATATCTAATTTTTTTCCCCTATAAGATAACTAAATCAGTGCTGGAGAAATGGCTCAGCACTGGATGCTCTTCCAGAGGACCCAGGTTAAATTCCCAGCACCCACATGACAGCTCACAACTGTCCAAAACTCCAGTTCCAGGGTATCTGACAGCTTCACACTACTGTACAGAAAAATAAGATTGAATAAATTACATAACTAAATCAACTAGACAATGAGACAGCTGAGCCAGTGTTTATCTTATCTAAGTATTCAAATTTTCTTTTATGTATATGAGTGTTTTGCCTATATGTATGTACTCTGTGCACCACAGATGTACGAGTGTATACATTGCCTGTGGAGGCCAGAACAGGCTAAGATCCCTAGAATTGGAGCTAGAGATAGTTATTAGCTGCCATGTGGGTGTTGGGAACCAAACCTGGTTCCTCTGCAAGAACAAAAATGCTAAAATAAACCATCTCTTCAGCCCTCAAATATTCTTATTCTTTCAAAACGTACTGTTGGTATTTGACTCTCCACAATTCAGAGGATATTGTACCTTTCTGTCTAGGAGTCGCTTCTTACGCATGGTGGGAGGTTCCAGATAGATTCGACCCCGCATGGCCAGCTCTATCAAGATGCCTCCTCGAAGCCCAGAGGATATGCAATCATTCCAGAAAGATGTGTAGCCCTAGGAGAGAGAAAAGAAAACAAAGAATATTCTGAAAGTAATACTGACTTTCAGCCAGTACCTTAAGAATAAGGTGTGATATTTTTGATTCCTTTCACATCATACTGCATGAACTCAAAGCAAGGTACAGAACAAGATGAGGGCATGTTGTGTTGCTGTTTTAGCAGTGCTTGGGACTGAAGACAGGGCCTTACAAATACTAAGAAGTGCTCTACGACTGGGCCCCAACCCTAAACCACCAGAATATTTCATTAGTCACTGAAATCTAATTTTTATTATATTTATTTTTGTTTATTCTACATCAGTACCATGGTGAGTCAACAGAGGTCAGAGGACAATTTGGGAGTTAGTTCTCACCTTCCACTATGTAGGCTCTGGGGATTAGGCTTGGCAGCAAGCGCCTTTCTCTGTTGAACTATTTCATCAATTGCCTTAATCTAAACACCCAACCTACTATTTTTTGTCTGACTTTTGAGTTATTTAGTGACTTTCTATGACTTGATATTTCTACAACAATTGGCATGTCAAACTTTGATTTCAATTGAGAAGTGCTCTGGTTTGAAATAAATATTTTTCTTACATTTATTTATCTGTTTATAGGGCGAGGTATAGACATACAGAGGTCTAAGGACAACTTTTAGGAGCTGGTTCTCTCCTTTCACCATGTGGGTCCTGAGGACCACATGGATTGGTACTAAATTGCCTCTCCACACTGAACCATCTTCATGGCAGGAGTTTTGGTTGGAAAGGTTTGCAAAATGCCCTGAACTGCAGAGCAGTACACAGGAAAGGTAGAAATGAAAGCACAAGCTACGTCTATTGTTTTGTTGTTGCTCTTCCTAGAGATCTAAGTGTAAGGAGTCTTTCTCTGCCGGCCAGCCAGCTTCCAAATAATGACACGGAGACTTCTTTTAATGATGAAAGCTTGGCCTGAAGTTTAGGCTTGTTCCTAACTAGTATAATAAATTAATCCATTTATTTATTATGCATATACCATTCTGTCTCTATGTATGTCTGCATGCCTGAAGAGGGCACTAGATCTCTTACAGACGGCTATGAGCCACCATGTGGTTGCTAGGAATTGGACTCAGGACCTCTGGAAGAGCAGCCAGTGTGCTCAGTCTCTAAGCCATCTCTACGTTCTATTACATGGTGTTACCTCTCTTCCATCTTGCACCTCCTGTTTCCTCTCCATGTCTCTTGGCATCCTGTGTACCTAGATTCTCCTCCTTTTCCTTTCTTTCCCTGGAAATCCTGTCTATATCTCCTGCCTAGCTATTGGCTGTTCATCTTTTTACTACATCAATCACAGCAAATACATTTCACATAGCATACAAATATCCCACAACATCTAGGTATGCATTACTTGTAAACTTTCCCTGTCCCTTCTGGTGTGCATGTATACTGTGACTGAACTCAGGGCTGTGTACATTTTAGCTACATCTCCACCTCAACAAACTATTCTGATGCAGACACTGGACAAACCATCAATTAGTGAAGGGCCCTGGGTATGTTTGTTACTTGACCTTTCTGAAATTAATGTCTTTATAGGTAAAACGGGGACACTAATACCTATTTTTATAACTTGTTGTGAGGACTCAATAAAATAAACTATTTGAGGAAGGGGTTGAGCATAGGGCATGAACTACAAAAATACATGTTAGTTATCTTTTCTGGGAAATACAGGGAATACACAAAGATGTAAGACAGCTACTACATAAAGGAGCCAAGAATCTAGCTGAAAACTTAAATAAAAGCTGAACTGAAAGAAGAGACAGGCTTATTAAACACTGATAAAAGTTTAGTTTGTATGACAGTTCTCTAAGTCTAAGTCACACAGGCATCAGAGCACAGAAAGGCTGAGGCTACGGGCCCTGAGCTGGGGATTAAAGGGTAGGTTTAATTTCTTCAGGAAAACCATCCAACTCCTATTCTTCACTATAAATAACAGAGATCTCAGATACATTTATGGAGATCAAGCTATTTGATCAAGGGCTTTGTTTTTGTTTGTTGTTGCTGTTTATTGAGATGGGTTTTATGTAATAGAGGTTGGCTTTGAACTCTTAATTTTGTTTCTATCTCCTGGTGCTGAGATTATTTAACTCAAAGTTTTAAAGAAAAATTCTGAGATCCAAGCTGGGTAGGGTCAGGCTTTGAACTTCCAAATAAAAGGCAAATAATCCCGAAGGCTTTGATCGAGGAGTTATGGTTAGCATCGAAGGACCTAATCACTATAAACTGCTCCGTGGCCGGGCGGTGGTGGCGCACGCCTTTAATCCCAGCACTCGGGAGGCAGAGGCAGGTGGATCTCTGTGTGTTCGAGACCAGCCTGGTCTACAAGAGCTAGTTCCAGGACAGGCTCCAAAGCCACAGAGAAACCCTGTCTCGAAAAACCAAAAAAAAAAAAAAAAACAAAAAAAAACAAAAAAAAACTGCTCCGTGGCTGGCAAGAGGCTCAGCAGGTTGGAGCGAGTATTGTTGCCAAGCCAGATGATTTGAATTCCAGCTCCACAACCCATGCGGTGGAAGGAGAATCAACTCCCAAAGGTTGTCTTGTGACTGCTGTATTTCTCACACCAAAGTAAATATAAAAGACTGAACTGTATTTGTATGTGTGAATATACACACACACATACTATAATGCCTATGAAGAGAACACCTCTCAGAATCACCTCTCCTCCATGTTGGAACCCCAGGATCAAATTCAAAGCAGCAGGCTTGGTAGCAAGTGCTTTTACCTGTTAAACTATCTTGCTAATCCTCATTTTAAAACTTTCAAAGCTGGGCATGGTGGCACATGACTGTAACCCCAGAATTTGAGAATTGAAAGCAGGAAGGTCAGGCATTCAAGGTCATCTCTCAGCTATATAGCAAGTCTGAGGCTACCTGACAAACTGTCCTATGTCTAGATATCTTTGAATGGCTCTACTCAGTTTTCAGGATTGAGTCTAAATCAAACCAAAAGGCTGCTGGCTAGTCTCCTCTCTAGCCTCTACTTCTTTATTTGGTTTTTATTTATTTAAAGATTTATTTATGTATGTCAGGTAGTGTGGTGTACACCTTTAATTCCAGCACTTAGGAGTCAGAGGCAGGCAGATCTCTGTGAATTTGAGGCCAATCTGGTCTACAGAGCTAGTTCCAGGACAGGTAGGGCTATTCTATAAAGAAACTCTGTCTCGAAAAACCAAACAAAATCACCAACCAAAAATGGGGTTGGGGAGATGGCTCAGCAGTTAAGAACACTGGTTGCTCTCCCAGAGTTCAATTTCCAGCACCCACATGGCAGCTCACAACTGTCTGAAACTCCAGTTCTAGAGGATCTGACACCCTCATGACAGATATATAAGCAGGCAAAACACCAATGTACATAAAATAAAAATCATAAATGAACAAACCCCTCAAATAAGCAAAGATTTATTTATGTGTCTTAGTGTTTTGCTTGTTTGTATGTGTGAGTACTATGTGCATACCTAGTGCCTACACAAGTCAGAAGAGGGCACGAGACCTCCTGGAACTGGAGCTATGGATGCTTGGGAGGTGGGTACTGAGAACCAAACCTGAGTCCTCTGCAGGAGCCATAAGTCCTCTTAATGGCCGAACTATGTCTCTAGCACCTATTTAGTTATATTTGAGACAGGGTCTAATGCAACTTAGGCTGGCCTCAAACTATGTACCTAAAAGTTTCTTCCTATGCCGGGCATGACGGTACACACCTTTAATCTTACCTACAAGAGAAATTCTGTCTCAAAAAAAAAAAAAAGTTTCTTCTGCTTCGATGTCCAGAGGCAGGCGCCACCATACTAACTTTATGCAGTTTTTATAGTCCTGAGGATCCTGTCAAGGCTTCATTCTTACCAACAGCTGCTCTCAGGTCTCTCTCTTCTGGATCATTATATTTTAGCCATCATCAATTATTTTAAGTGTTTTTCTATTTATGTATGTATGTATATATGTGAGTGGTTTTCTTTTTTCTTTTTTGAGTGGTTTTCTTATATGTATGTTTGGGTACTATGTGCATGCCTGCTGCCCACAGAGGTCATAAGAGGGTGCTGGATCTCCTGGTTGTGAGCCACCATGTGGGTGTTGGGACTTGAACCCAGATCCTCTGGAAGAGCAGTCATTGCTCTTAATTGCTGAGCCATCTCTCTAACCCCACATTTTGCTATATATTTTTAACAATTTTATTTATATTTATCAATTGACTAATGTTGTTTCTCTCTACACTCCATCATCTGGGTTATGTCCCTTACCTGAGTGTGCCTACACACACACTCCTTTTCTAACCTCCATTATATCATGATTAGCCTGTTTGTTCTTTTTTTTAAATATTATTTATTTATTATGTATACAATATTCTGTCTGTATGTATGCCTGAAGGCCAGAAGAGGGCACCAGCTCTCATTACAGATGGTTATGAGCCACCATGTGGTTGCTGGGAATTGAACTCAGGACCTTCGGAAGAGCAGGCAATGCTCTTAACCACTGAGCCATCTCTCCAGCCCAAGCCTGTTTGTTCTTACTATACCTTAAGAGAATATCTTTGTTGGACATGGTGATGTATGCCTTTAATCCTAGCACTTAAGTGAATCTCTATAGTACAAAGCCAGGCCTGATGCGAGAGAGAGAGAGACAGAGAGAGACAGACAGACAGACAGACAGATAGAAGGAATGACATCCTTTATGATATTATATGCTCAATAAATTATTTTTCCTATGGGGTGGGGATGAAACCTAAGGCACAAACTTTCAATCATAAAATTATGAATTCAAGAAGCGTTTGTTAGGGTTGAGCATGGTGGCACACATACTTGGAAAATGGAAAGATCAGGAATTGAAGGCCAGCCTGGGCTACATGAGATGATGTGTCAAAAAAACCTGAAGTAGTAAAAAAGCAAGTAAGCAAATACGTTAGCTTGCAAAAACCTCAGCTAAAGTCATAAACATTCATAAGACATCTCTGCCTGAGATATTTGACCCAAGACAGGGGTTAACTTTCCTCT